GGAATTTACTGAAAATGCCTTCGCTGCTCTCCCCACACCAACCGACGTCCACCTTGGTGAACGTAAGTTCCGCAGGGCTGTCACCGCTGCTGCAGCTCGCTTCGTACCGGCAGGATGCATTACGGACCCACGTCCAAATTTCCCTGCCGAAGCGGCTGTTCTAGCAGATGAGCGTGAGCGATGCACCAGCTATTTTAGCCAGCAGTTCATACTGCATCCTTCGGTGGACAAGCCAAGCGTCGAGTGACCAGAAGGCTGCACAAACTGCCAACAACTTGTACCCCCCTTGCTTTCGCTTGCGGTGAAGTTCAGGTGGCCATCGGGAAGGCGAAAGCCTCCAAAGCAATGGGTCCCGACGGAATATGCATGGTGATGCTGAACAATTTGGGTCCTCAATTTGTCAGTGGCCACTCTCATCATCCCAGACATCTGGAAGGTGGGGAAAGTGGTCCCACTGCTCAAACCGGGCAAACCTGCAACAAGTAGATTCGTATTGACCGATATTACTCCTTTCCCCGGTAGCGAAGACACTTGAGTACTTGCTGCTCCCGTATTTCACGAACCACCTGACCCCAGCGAAGCATCAGCATGGATTCCGTAAAGTGCACAGTACAACAACAGCACTTAACGCCATAAACACTCAGATAACTCGTGGCCTTAACCGTAACCGTCCCTTTAAGAAAACGATTCTAGTAGCGTTGGGCCTGTCAAAGGCTTTTGACACTGTCAGCCATTCCACGCTACTAGAAGATATAGAGGCTTCCTCTCTCCCACAGAGGCTCAAACGGTGGTCGGAAAATTATCTGAGTGGTCGACACTCGTCGGTAATGTTAAGAGACAAATCGGGTGGTGTCCTTTCCCCGCTACTGTTCAACTTTTATATTTCAAAGCTCCCTCAACCACCAGAGGGTATCTCGATTGTCTCCTACGCCGACGATTGCTCGATCATGGCAACTTCTTCACTGCAAAGTGTGTAGCTCTCTCCCCTACGAAATCCTCTGCGACCTTGTTCACCACCTGGACGAAGGAGGTCAGGCTACCGCTGGGAATTCACGTCGATGAAGAACACCACCTTCATGAC